GCTGCCCCGCCCCGAGTGGCGCGACTGGACGTCGCGCCTGGCGGCCAAGTCCGCGGCGGCGCGGGAGAAGCTGGGCGCGCGCCTGGCGCGCACCACGCACCCGCTGGACTACGGCACCACGCTGCGCGTAGTGCGCGACGCGCTGGCCACGCTGCCCCGCCCCCCGCTGGTGGTGGCCGAGGGCGCCAACACCATGGACAACGCGCGCCTGCTTCTGGAGCCGGTGACCGTGCCGCGCACTCGGCTGGATGCCGGCACCTGGGGCACCATGGGCGTGGGGCTGGGCTACGCCATCGCCTCGGCCACCCAGGACCCGGGCCGCGCGACGGTGGCTGTGGAGGGCGACTCCGCCTTTGGCTTCTCGGGCATGGAGGTGGAGACCATCGTGCGCTACGGCCTGCCGGTGACGCTGATCATCTTCAACAACGGCGGCATCTATGGCGGCGACCGCCGCGGGCGGGAGCTGCGCGCCGCCGCGGCGCGGGGGCTGGCGGCCGTGGGCCACGCGGGCGACCCCGTGCCCACCGACTTCGCCCCCGTCTCGCGCTACGACCTGCTGGCGCAGGCCTTTGGCGGGCGCGGCGTGGCGGTGGGCACCGCCGAGGAGCTGGCCGCCGCGCTGCGCGAGGCGCTGGCCTCGGGCGGGCCCAGCCTGATCGACGTCACCATCGACCCGCAGGCGGGGGTGGAGAGCGGGAACGTGCACGCCTTCAACTTCAAGCCGCCGGAGAAGTGAAATGGGCCGAAGGGGGTGGAGAATCATGGCGTGGGTGTGGGGCGGCGGCGGCGGGCTCCCCATCGGCTCGTGGGGGGAGCGAGGATCTCTCTCCCAGACCCCATCCCCAGCGCCACTCGCGTAAGTGTGCTGCTCGCCGAGTGCAGCACAGAACCTGCTGGGCACACCAAGCCCGGCATATGCGAGCGCGGCGCCATCGCCGCGCCTCGGACTGGCGCTGCCCCTGGGCCCGAGCTGGGCTCACCTTGTACAGATGCAGGTCAAGCACTTGTACTTACATTCCCGGCACTGGGTCTTCGATTTCAACCCCGAGTTGCAAAGTATGGCGTTTGGATACAAGGCCAGAATACTGGATCTGCGAGGGACGCGCGGAAACAGGGGTGCTGGCGCAGGCGCTTCCCTGGGGACGCCGGGGCAATCCCGGGGATCCCAGGGAGGGACCCGGGTCGAACGGGAAACCAATTGAAGGGGCCGCGCTATCCCCAAAGGCTACGGCGGGGATTCGACGCCGCACAGTTCGCACACCGCCCGTCCCACCCCACGCCACCAGTCGGGAAGCACTCGCCCTGCCATCCGCACCCCCGTGCTCGCCCCCGCTCGAATTACGTCGACGCCGTGCCCTACCCTTGCTCGTACACCCAGCCGGCTCGCGCCGACCTCCGGGCCACACCCTTACAATTCACCCTCCGATTCTGTGTTAAACCCGCCTCCATGCATAGAGCACACACCGCGGTGGCCTTCAGGCGCCTGCGTGAGTAGGGAGCCGGGCTTCCGAGCGTGTAGGGCAGGGAAACCTGCGATTCACGTGACCAACGGCCGACTAATTAAGCATCCATGCCCTTTCCTACCGTGCAACCCCCAATCTCCTACCCCCTCAACCCACCTTTCCTGCAGTCGATGATGACGAGGGCGGCTGCGAGTTCGAGGGCCTGGGGGATTACAACATGGGCATCCACATCGGCGCGGTGTTCATTCTGCTGGCCGTCTCAGCCCTGGGCGCCTTTGGCCCCATCCTCCTACGGGTGATCCGCTCCAAGACCTTCCGCACAGCCCTCAAGTACGTGGTTAAGGGGGCGGTTTGGGGTGCAGACTGTGTGTCGGGCGTGCGCGCACATCATGGCGACATGCCCCTGCCTATCCGTCACCAGCACCCAGGAATCCTCAGTCCAGCAACACGATTCCCATCCTCCAGAACTCCCTCCACTCTAGACCCCCACCTCTCCACCCCCCACGCCCACCCAGGATCGGCACCTTCTTTGCCTTTGGCACGGTGCTGGCCACAGGCTTCATCCACATGCTGCAGCCCGCCAACGAGGCGCTGACCTCGGCCTGCCTGCCCGCCTCCTGGAACGAGTCGTACGAGGCGTACGCCTATCTGTTTGCGGTGCTGGCCATCCTGGCCATGCAGGCCTTCGACTTTGCGGTGCAGCAGTACCAGTGCCGCATGGGCGACCTCGCCGGCGGCGACCCCTGCTGCAACATCGACCGCGCGCTGGAGCTGGGCCAGGGCGGCGCGGTGGGCGGCATGGCCCTGGGCGGGACGGGCGGCGGTGCCGACAGCGCGGCGCGGCGCGCGCTTGAGCAGCCGCTGCGCAAGGACTCCCACTCGCACTCGGAGGAGGACGCGGAGGAGGACGCGGAGCGCACCAGCCTCAGCCGCGTGGCCAGCGTGTACCTCATGGAGGCGGGCATCGTCTTCCACTCCGTGGTCATCGGCATCACCCTCGGCGTCTCCACCGGCGCCCAGTTCAAGACGCTCATGATCGTGCTCTCCTTCCATCAGTTTTTTGAGGGCTTTGCCATCGGCTTCACCGCCGTGGACGCGCGGCTCAACGGGCTCAAGCTCTTCGTGGTAGGGCTCATCTACTCCCTCACCACCCCCATCGGCGTGGCCATTGGCATCGGCATCCGCCAGACCTACAATGGCAACGACGCCACCACGCTCCTGGTCCAGGGCATCTTCGACGCCGTCTCCGCCGGCATCCTCATCTACGTGGCCCTGGTGCAGCTCATCACCCCCCAGTTCACGCACAACAAGTGGCTGACGCAGCAATCCCTGCCGGTCAAGCTGCTCAGCTTCGCGGCCCTCTACGGCGGCTTCGCGGTGATGGCCGTGATCGGGAAGTGGGCGTGATCGGGGCCGAGGGCCGGCCCCGTGGGGGCGCACCGCGCAATAATCCTTGCTCCTTTGACCTGCAATCCCAAACCAGCCCCGGCTGGCAACACTGTCGCATCACCACATCAAACCCATTCTTTGAGGAAAACAGTGGGACGCCAACATCAGCGCATTTGTCTCCCAATCCAGTGTCTTCTACCCGTAGCCTGTGTCAGTCGTGCTCAGAGTATGTAATGGCGACATCAGTCATGGAGAGATTTACAGAGAAGGTACAGGGGGACATCAGGGGGAAAATTGCAGCAAGGGTTTCGGCGGTCGGTTTGACTCCCGCCGGGGAGGGGCCCGATTATACAACCCGCACAAGGGACGTGCACGGATCAGAATGCGCCGTGAGAAGAATACCCATATTTAATTCCCGCTCACACCGGCCCAGACAGCATCGGCATCGCTGGGCACGAGTCCTCAGCGAGGGCATGCCCTCGCAGCACCTCCGTGACGAGGAGTCGGGGCTCCTGCAATCCCTGCAGAACGGCAGCAGCACGGCATCGGGAACATGGCTGACTCATCGCATGCAGCATGCCCCCGAGAATAGCCTGGATCGCACCCCAGATGACTCCCGTGTGCGTAGGGCTGGTAGGGATGGGTTTGGCATGGGGCCAACCCCGCGCTTTGCCTCGCGCAATGCTCTAGGGTGTGAGGGGGGTCTATGGAATTCTGATACTCGGTACTCTTGGCCAATACCGGCGTCCCATGCATCCATCCTCCAGCTGCTAGGCGCGATGCAGGGTATGGGCCTGGCCTCGGATGGAGGGGCAGGAGCCAAGCCCTCCCCAGAGGTGGGGTACATGACAGGGGGCATGACGCTGGGTTGGGGTGAGCTATGCCTCAGAGAAGAATTTCCATGACACACCATGAATGCCCGGCAGCAGATTTGACCCTCCTCAACCCCCCTTCACCCGTGGCAGATGGAGTATCTGTCTGGGGTGGTGGCTCGGGGGGTTGCGGTGGCGGTGGAGGGCACGGTGGAGCACGCCATGTCGGCTGCCGTGCACACCGCCATAGAAGACCAGAACATTCACTTTGACGTCAAGGTGCCTGGAGTGGAGGTGTTGATCGAGAGGGGCGCGTGGGTGGAGAGGATGCGGGAGTGGCCATCCGATGTCCGGCATCACATGTGCAGGAAGGGTGCACCGTCGGCAGCCGCCCACGCACGAGCAGCAACCACCCATCCGGCACGCCACACCACCATGAAATACCCCTCTTGCCCTGCTTTCCAGGCCAACCTGGGCACGCTGGTGGCGGTGACCGGCGTCATCCTCTTCTGGCGGGGGGTCTGGAACATGTGGTGCGAGGGGTGGGTGGGGATCGATGGCATGAGTGTGCGTGTGGGTGAAGGCGGAGGCTCGACGCCCTTTGCCGGCGCTGGCGCAAGGGAGCTGCCTCCATTGGACCCAAGAACGCCGGTGCGCAGGCCCTGCTCGCCCTTTCTTTCCCCCTGGCCATTGCAGGGACACGGTGGTTGGCCTCTCGCTCACCAGCGACCTGCTGTCCATGGGCATCGGCTTGGGCACCATGCTCTGCATCCGCTACTTCCGGGTGCCCCTGGCGCGGACGTTCCCGGAGATGTGAACACGTTTGGGGTGGCTTGGGCGCGGTGGAGGTGCGCGCCGGTGCACCTCCCGCTGCTCCGGGGCACGTCCATGGTATGAGGGCGCAGAGGCGCATGGCGCAGAGGAAAACCTGGCCTTTCCACGTTCGGTGTGGAACTCCGCACACCCTCCGCTGTCCCTGGATGCCATCCGCTCACTCCATCGGCGGCCCCTGTACTTGTGCACAGCAGCAGACACAGCCCGAGTCATTGTCCCACAGAGACTCTGGGCATAAACCATTCCCCTGTGTCTGCCACCCTTCTTTCCCCAGACTTGCGATTGTGTAGGAACTCGTGACAAGGTCGTGTCAAGGGTCAAGCTTCAGTACAAGGCGGGGGAGGGGTGGGGAGCCTGGCCCCACCCGGGATCCGCGTTCGGGGTCAATGGGGCAGCGCATTGGCTGAGCGGGGAGGGTTTTGCCAAACATGAGCCCCATGTTGGTGACGAGGGGACGATGGCCAGGACGCCCACAACCATGGAGCTCAACCGAGCGCATTTGCCGCAGTGCACAGGGGCCTCAGTGCCTGCCACGAACCCGCATCAAGTTCTGCAGCACGGATTCTTCGCTGACGGTCTGGAAAATCGGGGGGAAGGGGGGAAGTGGGGTGGTGACATGGTGGAAGGACCGTAAGCAAGCTCCGGACAGGCGCTGCAGGGAGGGCCACGCAGAGGCGCTGCAAGGGGCTGGAATTGGGCATGACTGCGAGGACCTCGCCAGACGGCCCCATTCCCTCCTCTTCACACCACCACTCGCAGCCATCGCGACTCACCATCGTGTTCCAGTGCTTGCTGACGGCGCTCGTCAGGTCCTCCTTGCTGCTCTGCGGTCCAATGCCGGGCACCTCGTACACCTTGGTGTACTTGCGTAGCGCGTGCACCTGGGGAGGAGACCGGGTGGGGCATGGAGTGTGGGGTCCAGCCAGGTTCCCCAGGCACCCTCACGCACAGTGCACCGGGTCCAGACGGGTGCACATGAGAGCGAGAGGTCCCGGGCCCGTGGAATAGGCCACTCACCTTGAGCTTGGTGAGATCCACCCGTGGAGCGGTGCCGTCCGCGCTCCCGCCAATGTACTGCGTGGGGTGGAGAGGGCGCCTTGTCCGGTCAAAGAGGGCGTAGAGGCGGGGCAGACGGCTCGCCCTCGGTGCTGACTCACCTGATCCTCCTTGTAGGAGTAGCCGTTGCTGACGTCCTTGGGGTAGTCTGCACTGTAGCGGGCGACGTTCGCAGCAGTGGTACGCACCGGGCGGCTTCTCGCGCCCTTCTGCACGGCAGCCATGACAAGGATGCAACGCTGCCTTCGAGACTAGGGTAACACCCGGAGTGGTGGCTGGGGTCTCGGCGCGCGGGAATGATGGTGCTGCTGGGGGTCCACCGTGCTCCACGTCGGGGAACCTTCAGGAGGAGAGCGGAGCCAGCACCCCGGGTTCGCAGAGCCCAGAGAGTCTGGTCGGGTAGATCCAGGCACTGTATGTGACAGGGTGTGTTTCAGGACGACTGATTGGCCGTGCATGAACTTGACACTCTGTCGAAAGCGGGGGACCCGGGGCCCAGCCGGCTCGATCCGGTGATGCTGCGCCTGCTTTGGGGGTGCATCTGTCGGAGGTGACACGGCGAGGTCTTTGCGGAGCAAGCTGAACCCGGCCCGAGTGGAGCAGGAGAAGGCGGGATCTTCCCAGCATGCATAGAATATCGCTCGGTAAAAGCTCTTGGGGTGACAACATGCTCGCCATGTATGGGCGCACTGGCACGTGCTGGCCGTCGATACGGGCGATCCGATTCAGGCATTCAAAAAATCTTCTCGAGCTGCGACGGGGTCGCGTCGCGAGGGGCATATCACCAGAATAATCTCGTCATTCCGCCACGCCATGACGGAGAATATGAAGCCTGTGTTTGTTTGTGATGCTTATCGGGGCCTCTCCGCCGCTCAGCCGCCCGGTTTACGCAATCGGTACCGCGGTTTCTGGAACTGTACGCAGCGACGTTCAGTACGACAATCTGCCCTCTCCACCGAGCTGCATGGATCACAGATGGGTATTCAGACGTGCAAAGTCTCAGCCTATGCACTGAATTGGGTAGGGTCCGCCTGTCTTGTTGGGAAGACACCGTGTCTGGGCGATGGGAAAGGCCATGCTGTGTCCATCTCGCACGCATCCCCAGCGCCACTTTGGACCTTGGGAAACTCCTTTGGAATCGTGCACGAAGTGTGCAGCGCCTGTAGATGATGTCCTAGTCTTTTCAGAACCACAGCCCGGTTGCTCTGGAAGTCATGAACTCAGTGCATTCGGATAATCCGGATCGCAGGTAATGATCTGAGAAGTATATCTGCCATACAGCAGATTGTCAGGGCCTCAGACAAGCTGGTCTTGCCCCGTGCGATTCTCCCTGCCCCATGCAAATTTGGGTGGGATATGGTTGAACGTGCCACGTAATGTCCAGCGTGGGTCACATCAAGGAGGCGTGGATTGCACTCGCATATTTGCGATTGCCACAAACAAGCACCAGCTTCATCCCCTGGTTATCCAATTCCCAGCCTTCCCACCCCGCCACGGCAACCTGCGCCGTTTGAGATGCAGGTCCACGCTGCATGTCTGGCCCACCTATATGCCTCGCCCCGCCCTCCAGACTTGAAAACCTAGTCACAGATCCCTCCCCCCTTCTATCTCTCGTCCGTCGGAACAGGTTTGCATTAAAGACAGTCCTGCAGTCGCAGCAGGCCGGCGACTCTCGCACACGAGGGCGGTGGGGGGATCGTCGCACGGGAGGGTGCGCGCGCGCACGCGCGCGCGCACTCTCGCCCGAGCACCTCCCCCACCCCGCACATAAAACCCTCCTTGCCTCTACTTGAAGAAGCGGAAGATGAGGCCGTCGGCGGTGTGCGCCAGGAAGAAGGGCGCGAACACCAGGCTCTCCACCGCCATGAGCTTGATGAGGATGTTCAGGGAGGGCCCCGAGGTGTCCTTCAGCGGGTCGCCCACTGTGTCGCCGATGACGGCGGCCTTGTGCGCGTCGGAGCCCTTGCCCCCCAGCTCGCGCGCGTGCTCCGAGGCCCCCGCCTCGATGTACTTCTTGGCGTTGTCCCAGGCGCCGCCGGTGTTGGACATGGACACCGCCATCTGCACGCCCGACACCAGCGCGCCGGCCAGCACGCCAGCCAGCGTGCGCACGCCGAACAGCACGCCCACCACGATGGGGGTGAGCATGACCAGGGCGCCGGGGGGGATCATCTCCGACAGCGAGGCGGCAGTGGAGATCTCCACGCAGCGGCGGTAGTCGGGGCGGGCGGTGCCCTCCATGAGCCCGGGGATGGTGTTGAACTGGTGGCGCACCTCCTCCACCATGGCCAGCGCGGCCTTGCCCACCGACTTCATGGTCATGGCGGAGAACCAGTAGGGGAGCATGGCGCCCACCAGCAGGCCGGAGAACACCTCTGGGTCCAGGATGGACGAGTCGGCGATGGTGATGCCGGCACGCGTGATGTAGGCGCCGAAGAGCGCCAGCGACACCAGCGCCGCGGAGCCGATGGCGAAGCCCTTGCCGATGGCGGCGGTGGTGTTCCCCGCCGCGTCCAGCGCGTCGGTGCGCTCGCGGATGTCCTCGCCCATGGCCGCCATCTCGGCGATGCCGCCGGCGTTGTCGCAGATGGGGCCATACGCGTCGATGGCCAGGCAGGTGGCCAGCGTGCCCAGCATGCCCAGCGCCGCGCAGGCGATGCCGTACATGTGCGCCAGGGAGAAGGAGACGAAGATGGTCACCGCGATGGTCAGGCAGGGGATGATGGCGGACTTGTAGCCCAGGGCCAGGCCGAAGATGATGTCGGTGGCGGCGCCGGTCTTGCACGCGTCGGCCACGTCCTGTGTGATCGTGAGGATGTTTGATGTTTGGGGTGGGGGATGTATGTCGGTGGGTTTGATTCAGTGAGGTGAGAACCGGCATGGCAGAGAAGGGTAGGTCTCCTGATCTCAGGGGGCCGAGGAGCACCCTCGGGTGTCGGCAGCGCCACGCGTCGACCGACCCACGCTTCCCAGCGCCGCTGGGCGTCGACCACCGTCCCACACCCACAGCACCACGCACAGCCACCCCACCCCTCCCGCCTCCTCCCGCTCACCTGGACGGGGGCGTAGCGGTTGGAGGTGTAGAACTCGGTGACCAGGCCGATGACGAGACCGCCCCACAGGCCCGCGGCGACGCAGACGAAGAGGTACCAGTTCTTGACGGGGCGCATGGGGTCGTCGGAGAAGAGGCCGGTCATGGTCGGGGGCAGGGCGGCGACGGCCAGGAGGTAGGCCACGGGGGTCATGACCAGGGTGGACACGATGAGCTGGAGCTTGAGCGTGGACTCGATCTCGGCCACGACGCGGGCGGGGCGCAGGTCGGTGGCCAGCAGCGTGGTGGCGATGCAGACCAGGATGCCGGAGCCGGTGATGAGCAGGGGGAAGTTCATGGCCACCCACAGATGGTCCACGCCCAGGGCGGAGACGGAGGAGACGACCAGCGCGGCGCAGGTGGCCTCGGCGAAGGAGCCAAACAGGTCGGCGCCCATGCCCGCGATGTCACCCACGTTGTCGCCCACGTTGTCGGCGATGACGGCGGGGTTGCGCGGGTCGTCCTCGGGGATGTCCTTCTCCACCTTGCCCACAAGGTCGGCGCCGACGTCGGCGGCCTTGGTGTAGATGCCGCCGCCGACGCGGCCGAACAGCGCGATGGAGGAGCCGCCCAGGCCGTAGCCGGTGATGGCCTCATACAGGCCCTCCCAGTCGTCGCCAAAGACGCGGGAGTAGACGGCGAGGAGGAGGTAGAGCACCAGGAGGGCGTTGCCGGCCAGGAGGAAGCCCATGACAGCGCCGGAGCGGAAGGCGGCCATGAAGGCGGGGGCGATGCCCTTGCGCGCCTCCAGCGCCGTGCGCGCATTGGCGTAGGTGGCGATGGACATGCCCAGGTAGCCGGAGACGATGGAGGTGGCGGCGCCCACGATGAAGGCGATGGTGGAGAAGGCGCCGTTGTACAGGGCCGGGGCGCGCAGCACGCCGGACTCGTCGCGGTGCCACTTGGTCTTGAACCCGTCCTGGGAGCTGAGCAGGACGAAGATGAAGACAGAGAAGCCGGCCATGAAAAACGAGACGTACTTGTACTCGGTGAACAGGAAGGAGGTGGCGCCCTCGGCAATGGCCACCTGCAGGTCGGCCACCTTCTCCTCGATCTCGGCCTCGCCGCGCTGCTCCTCCTCCAGCAGGTACTCGCGACCGTTGGAGTTCCCGGAGCTGGCGCCGCCGCGAACCTGTTGGATGGGGTAGGGTGGATCGCGCAGGATCAGCGGGCCGTGGAGGGGAACGAGGGTGATCGGGGCCGAAACCCGGTGGCGGGGCGCGACTCCACTAACCCCACACGATACCCATCGCATTGCATGCAGGTGCATTCGAAGATCATGCACCGGGGTCTTGAGGGTGCTCGACAAGGGGTGACCCGCCGGGGACCCGCCGGGCCACGGCCTGATGGCGTCGTGGTGGGGGGGCGGCCTCGCACCCAGTCCCTCGACCCTTGGCATTCAGGCGCACGTCAATTCCCCATACCCTCACCTTAATGAGGCTGACACGGTACCAGAGCCAGAGGGCAAACAGCACGGACACCGTCGCCGCTACCGGGGTGAAGATGGTGGCGAATGCATCGGGGAGCCAGGTGGCGCTCATGGTGGGTGAGAGCCCCAGTGGCTCGTGCGCGTCGATCTGGATGTTAGGGTGTGAAGGATGGCAGGGACGCTGGGCTAGCACTCTTACGCCCACCACAAGACAAACAGTGGGGGGGCCGGGGTCGAATGCGTTGCCGGGGATCCATGCGGAACCAGTCCCGACGTCGGATTGAAGATTCCCGTCGGTGGTGCATGGCCCCCTGGAAGGCTTTTGACAATGCCGCAACGTTGGAAAAGCGGTTGGAGATCCTGGAGGACGCATGCAGCCCTCACCTGGGGGATGGCTAACAGGCCTTCCCCCAGTACTCGAGCGCACTGGATTTCTCCGCGTGCTGACGCGGCCTTTCACGTCCTCCAAATGACCATGGCACGGGAAAATTAACGATCGTGCTTCTCATGAAGCTGCCCGGCTTTTGCGTGCCCAATAGCCCAGCAGTAATGATCCGGGAAGGCAGTCTATTGGAGTCATGTAATGGGGACCTAGCCTGCGCCGCTGGACACGATTGTTCATGGCACAGCAGGGCCCCTGCTCCCCTGCCCGCGTCACGCCCGCACGCTCAGCCAGGCGCAGGCCCCGCTGCTCAGCGCCGGGGCCACGTCAGCAGCCAGCCTGGCCCTGGCCAGCACGTCTGCCTGCAGGGCCGCAGGGCAGGCCTGGCCGGGACCCAGGAGCAGCGTAGTCAGTGCCGCCACGGCGCCCGCCGGCTGCCCCGCCAGCGCGCCGGCCAGGGCGCCGAGCGCGGCACACCCGCGCTCGGCCCCCAGCGTCGCCCAGTTCTCCCGCAGCGCCCGCGCGACCTGCTCCCAGCCGGCGCCGGCCCCCGCCACGGCAGCCGCCGCCGCCACGCCGGGCGCAAGAGCTGGCGCGGCGGCCAGGCGCGCGCGCGCGCGCGTCGCGACCTCGAGGCCTTTGCCTTCAAACTCCGCCACGCCCTGCGCTGCGCCGGCCCCGAGCGCCCAGGCCCACTGCCCGGCCTGCAGCCCCCGCACGCTGGGGAGGGCCAGCAGGCAGCGCTCCGCCGCCGAGTCGTCGGCGGCCAGCAGGTAGCAGCGCCGCAGCGCAGCCGGCAGCCCGGCGGCGCCCGGCGCGGCGGCCCCGCACCCAGGCAAGGCTGCGCCCAGCGCGGCGTACACGGCACCCTCCACATCCGGCGAGATGAACGGAGCAGCGGCGGAGGCGGTTGCCCCGGCTGCCGTCGATGCCATGAGCGCGGTGCGGTTCAGGGCGGGGCACAGCGCGGCGCCGGTGGCAGCGGGGTCGATGTCAAGGGCAATCAGCGCAGCTGCGAGTTGCGTGGCGCTCAGCGCGCCCAACGTGGCGTCGTGCGACAGGGGCGGGCCTGTATCAGACACCCTGCTCGCCACCCCTGCCAGCGCAGATATGGCGCCTGGTTCAATGACCGTCGCCGCATACGCCGCCATCGCGCCAGGGCAGTCGGCATTCGTGCCGGCAGAGAGGGCCACCAGCGTCTCCAGGCCGGGGACGAGTAACAGGTACCGCCCCGGGCCCGTGCGCTGGGCGGCGGGCATGCGCAGCATCGCGTCCACGAAATCGAGCAGGGATTCGACGGGGAGCAGCCCCGCGAGCGTCAGCGCCGCCGAGTCGTGCAGCGCGGAGGACAGCGTAAGTGCCCGGCCCTCGTCCAGGGCGCAGTCGGCGCCCGGGCACGCGCCCTGAGTGTTTGTGGGGGGTGGGGGGTGGTGGAAGAATCCTGGAGGGCAGGCTTCCATGTGGGCTTCAGGCTGGGCACGGATCATAAGCGCCGGGGACTGGGGTCAAGGACCCTCCAGGCGGATCCAGCACATCCTGGGAGCTGCTGGGGCCCCTGGGCCACACATCATCCTGTCCCTCCCACCTTTTTTGAATGCTACCGGTAGCCCCTACCGCCACACATCCCCCTTGTTCCCACCCTTCCAAACACCGCGACTCACCACCTGCGTGGCCCAGGCCGCCAGGGCCTCCAGCTGCGCGGCGCTGTGCAGCGTGCGGAAGAGGCCGGTGGCGTTCACGCTCCCCGCCCAGGCAGACTGGTCCGCGACGCCGCCCGTGCCGGCCGGCAGCGTCCATGCTGCCCCCGCCGCGGGCAGGCACAGCGCCTGCCGCGCGGCTTCCTCGGCGCCCAGGCCGGCGGCGGGAAGCTGGGCCGTGGCGCAGAAGGGGCCCGCCCTGTCGGGCAGCTGGCCCACCGCGGCCACGGCACTGGCATTGCGCAGCGGGAGCAGGGGCTGGGTGGCCCACGCCGTGCCTGTCTCCGGCAGGCCGCCGGCCAGGGGGTCGGTCGAGATGATGGTCCCCTGCGCCGCCGCTGCCGCGACCAGGATGTCGCCAAAGTTGGCGGATCCCAGCGCCCTCTCATGCAGCAGGGCCTGTTGGATGGGTGGTGGGGATCAAGGAGTCTGGCTGGTGCAGAATGGCAGTGTAAGAGGACGGCACGGGATGCTTGCCAGGCTACCAGGTCTTCGCCTCGTCACGTTCCCATACACAACAAACTCATTGAGAACCCCGCATTGCGCCACCTCCCCCCCCCCCACCCCCCTTCAGACCTGGAGGCCGATCTGCAGTGTTTCGCCGCCCAGCGCCACCTCCAGCATGCGCAAAAATGTAGCTGCCTTGGAGTACACCTCCACGCCGCCCGTGCCGACGGCCGCGTCCGAGGCGGCGACCATGGCCGGCCTGAAGGGCGAGGCGTCGGTGCAAAGTGCGCGCAGCGTGGGCCCTTCATGCACGCCGGGCAGTCGGGCCTGGGGCAGGGGGGCGCGGTACCGCAACACCTCTCCCGGCGCGCCCACCGCCGTCAGGCAGTGGTACTCCAGGAAGGAGGCCAGCCCCTCGTTGAAAGCCAGCTGCGTCCAGTTGGTCCCCGTCACAAGGTTGCCAAACCACTGGTGTGCCACCTCGTGACAGACGACGTCCGCAGCGCGCCACGCCCCAAAGCTGCCACCCGTGGCCTGAGAGGAGATAGAAGGTTGGAGGGAGAGGGGGAGGTGTGGGGGAGTACGAGTGTGAGGCTGTCAGGCCGCAGACCAGGCAATAGTTGGGGCAGGAGTCCTCGCGACCACCATCACCCCCCGTCCCCCCAACCTGGCTGTGGAGGAAGCGACGCTCGTCAAAGAGCAGGAGGCCCCAGTTCTCCATGGCGCCCTGCTTGCCTGGAATGGCCACAAAGTCCACCTGTGGGGTGGACAGGGGAGGGATGCTGTCGACAGGGGTTGGTGGATTGGCATGTAAAAGTCTGGGGTGTACTGGAACAAGCGGCGGGAGAGAAAGGGGCAATCAACGTAAAAATCTGGTTCAGACCGTTGCTGCCTGGTCCAAATTTCCTGGAGCAGACAATGCTGAGCACACAAGCTCGGCAAATGCGGTAGCAATGGCATGTAGCCAAAGTGGTGATCGATTTGCCTCAGAGACCTTTGCCGCCCCAGTCGACACCCTACCTCGTCTCCACACCTTGGTCAGAGGCTGCTCGATCCCCGTCCAGGCGGTGTAGAAAGCCAGCGACTTCACCGCGACGTCGGCGGAGAAGGCTGCCAGGCCCTCCCTCCCGGGGACCACCCAGGCCTGGACCTGGAGAGCCTCTACTGCTTTTGGCAGGGGCAGTCCGGGCTTCACCGCCACCAGGTTCCCGGCAGCCACCGCCAGCAGGTAGGTCGGCATGGGCGGAGTGGGGTGGAAGCTGTGGCGCAGGCTGCCTGGCGTCGTGCCCATGCCCACTCGGAGAATGGGGCTGTTGCTGAGTACCGTCAGGCCGACCTCGCCAGGGACCTGTGGAAGTGTGAAGTCGGGTGTTTCATGATAGCCAACTGGGGTCGAATGGAGGCTGAGGGGGATTCGGCTTGGCGATAGCAAGTTGAGGTTCTGGGCCTCGCTACATGAAGGCACACACTGCTGACACTGCGTGTCAGTCTGCCCGTCACTGCTATGAAGAGCTGTGAAATGACAAGCGCCTGTCCAAAGGTGCAGCAACCTCTCGCTCTGGGCCACAACCAGGGTTTGGGCCTCTCAGGCAACCCAGTCCACACGGTCACCCTCCAATAAGACACTCGTCCGCCACACAAGAGTACTCCGCCGCCCCACCTCCACAGCGACGTTGTAGACGGCCCGAAAGCGGGGCACATCCACGCAGGGGAAGACGGAGCGGGCGTGCGTGGCAGCCAACTGCGTGGCGACCAGCGCGCGCGCGCAGGGCGCGCGGTCGCTCGTCCCCGGCGCAACGCACTCCGCGGCAAAGGCTTGAGACCGGTGCAGGCCCGCGCCGGCGCCCATGACCCCCGTGTACTCGAAGGTCAGCGCAGGCGCGGCCCCCTCCCCGGGGTCGAGCACGTCGGCGCCCAGGTCCACCGCCACCAGGTCCGTGCGCCAGGTGTCGTCCGAGCGCGGGCGCAGCTCGCGCAGCGTGGCGCGGCAGGCCACCGCGTCGGCGCAGAGCACGCGCCGGGCGCCGCCGCCGCGCCGCAGCGCCACGCTGCGCACGCTGAGGCCCCGCGCCTGCACCACCAGGCAGCGCGTCCGCCTCCGCACGCGCCAGGCGATGCTTGCGCTGGCGTTGAAGCGGGGGTGGTTGGGGGCGTCGACGCCGCCGTCGAAGTGCCCTGCTTCCAATTTGAGCGTCAGGTTGTAGGCGGTGGGCGTTGCCCAGTCCCAGGGCTCGCCTGCCGCCGCATCTTCGCAGGAGAAGGAAGGGGCGACGGGAGGTGGAGGAGCGGAAATGGTCTTGCCGCCTTGAGCTTCCGCTGGGCCCTGCCGGGAGCCCAGCGTCAGGAAGAGGAGTACGATGGCCGTGAGGAGGATCGCCCCGCCGCCCAATACCAGCATGCCCCAGCGCTGCTTGAAGGGCCTGAGCGCATTCTGCTGGATTCCCCTGTGGGGTGCACAAGTATTTGTACCTTGTAGCAGGAAGTGGCAAAGGGTGGGCGAGGCATCACGCAACACATGGATCCTCTGCTCTCAAGACTTGCGGCACCATGCAGGGCTCCACATTGCCCCAGCACAGACAAATTTCTATGAATTCACTGCTCACCCAAATACAGATTGTGGCTTGGGAACCTGGAAGGCGTCCTGGCGATTTATGGGAGCCATCTCCGACCATGGGCCCTCCACCTCCATGGGCTGGATGGGGGCCATGTCTGCCAAAGGGGGTTGGACCTCGACACCCTCCTGAGATTGCGCTCTATATTACACACATCACATGTTGGTGCCAAATCCTTCACAGGCGAGCTACCTATGGCTCGCAGGGTGGAGGTGCCGACGGCACACGCCTCGCACATGGTGTCTGTTGTACCATCTTGGGAAAATCGGGCGCGCTGGGGCGGGGCTCAAACTTTGAGTCAGGCAGCGACCACTCTCGTGGGGAATTGTCCTCCCTATCCTGGTTCAAGCTCAGACTGTTCGACCGCAGTCACTCATCAAAGGATCGAATACCAGTTACATCGCCGCCTCGCACCCTGCCTCAGCATGTCGGAGGTGGAGGCCCCCGCCGTGGCTACTCCTCCTCCCACAGAAGAAGAAGCCACTGCACCTGTGGACACCGTACCGGAGCCAGCTGTTGCTGAGGGCGCACCCACGCCTATGGAAGAGGATACGGAGGCCGCTCCTCCCGCGCCAGTCGAAGATGCGCAGGCACCTCCGTCCTCCTCCGAGCAAGGCGGGGCCGCTCCTCCCCCCTCGGCACCTGCCCAGCCCACGGATGATACCAAGGCTGAGGCACCTGCGACTACTTCCCCAGAAGCATCCGCTCCGGAGGCCCCGAAGAAGACGGAGTTGCCTGTCCGACAGTACCTCGAGAGCACGGGTGCGTGGTGTGACTGGCTGCTTATTCCAGTGTGGCAAATGGGTACGATCACCCTTCCATGTATAGCTCAAGAGGGCGTTGAAGCCCCAATGATTGCATCGGGAGCTCTCACCTGCCGATATACCTCGTGGCTGGCTCATTTGCACCTGCATGCAATGTGAGTGACCAGCCACACACGCCCCCTTTTCAAATCTGTAGTGGTGCCCCTGCTGACATCAGGCATGCAGCAGCTGGTCAAGGAACGCCCCGCAGACCCCATTGCCTTCCTGATCGACTACCTCCAAGCCAACCGCCCCAAGCCATCTGGCACTGAGTGACCTCATTGCTGTACACACCCTGCCAGCCGGGCCACTGGGATTTTCACCATGGGTGGCTGCAGCCCGGCCCTGCAAGCGTGATGGTTGCGGCATACGCAGCTCCCACATCTGCAATGGCAGTGCCATGCAGCGCCAGCTGCTGCCAGCCGCTCAGCAGTGCCGGGCCGTTTGGAATCATCAGCAGCAAGGCTTGCAAGACCTGGGGAGTGGTGGGCGTCTGCCCCTCCTATGCAAGTGGATGTGAGAGAGCAGGGGCCCACTCACTTTGAGACGCGGTGCTGGGATGGCAAGGCGGCCCAGTCCATGAGGCGGGTCCGCACACCTACCCCGTCACAGCCCCACCCTGAGGGAGTCAGCAATCCATGCCCGCGGCAGGGCCCGTGTCACATCCAGCCCGGCCAGCCATGATCGCATGAGAGCTTACCAGCTTGTGCACGAGGCTGGGGAAGGAGGACTGCAGGGCCAGCGTCGTCGCCACCATCAGCGCGCCGACGGTGGCCGCCAGGGCATACCAGGGACCGGGGGCGCCCGCCCCACACACCCCGGCCCACGCCCACCAGACGGCCAGGGCCAGGCGGGGCAGGGCAGTGAGGCGCAGGGCGGCCCTCAGGCAGGTCGCCAGCTCGGGGGGGGGGCCCCGCGGCCCCGGCCCAGGCGTCGCTGGCGACGCATACTCTGCCCAGCGATGGGCAGTGGCAGTGCCACTGGGCTCCTGGGGCTCGGCACGCGGGCCTGGGGGTGCAGCTGAGGGTTCAGGAAACGCGCCAGGGGCCCCCATGGGGCGGGAGGGTGCCGGTGGGGCCCTCTGGTCTGGTGCCTGCTCCAGCACCGGCTCGGCTGTCGACGCATCCTGCACCTCAGGCCGTCGCATCCCCGTGAGCGCCGCGAGCCGCTCTTCTGACCGGGCCAGGATCTTCTGCCGGCGCAGCTCTGAAGGATCCAGCACCCTCGCCGCTCCAGTGTCGGACGCCATCCCAAGTGAAGGTGGCGCGCCGAGACGCCGGTGTGGACGAGTGGGAGGACGCTGATAGATTGATGAGCGTATCCAAAGTATTCTGTGGAAGTTTCACGTTCCTGTAAGGTACAGAACTGCCTCAGCTTGACGTTAATGCTGGGTTTCTCCTCTCCACCTTGCTCGGGTGTCCTTCTGGAGGCCAATCAAGGAGATAATATTACGCTGAAGGGCGAGCGTCTCTGATTGTCGCGATATACGCACTGGTCTCGAAGCTGTCGAACGATTTTCGTGCATGGGTGTGGGAGCGGTCGTCAGTTTGCCCCTGTTACAGTAAGCAGGTGGCTGCTGCAGCCGGGCGGAAGGTGATCGATCATTCAGAACTACTCATCAGAATACTGTTAGCAGGTAGACCAGATCGTTGGCATCAGATTGAAGCCAGGTGAATGGCAACGTACATGCTCGTCTATCGATGGGAACAGGGGACAACACATGCAAGGCGAAAACATACCAATGTTTTTATTGATACTTCTCATCTCCGCCGGTCGATGTAGTATAACGGTCAGTATACGTGCCTGTCAAATGGTGCTGAGTGCCAGTCCTTTCTGGACGCACGTGATCCGGGTTCGATTCCCGGCATCGGCGAACAACCCTTTTGCGGTTTTAATCCCATGGCTTCAGGTTGGAAGGTCTACAATGTTGATGCTGGAGGCGTCTACGTCAGCCCTTAGCATTGTAGCATAGCCCGTCTTGGTGGATCCACCACCATTGGGGCTTGTGAACTTGGATGACATACGATGCTTGCAGGTCGAGCAGAACAGTGTCAGTACAATGAGCGAGCAGGGCAGCAGCGGGGGACAGGGAAGAGGCTGCGGCCTCAGACCGACTTCCCGTGCTCTTCTAGGTCCGCGGGCGTCACAAACTGCAGCCTGACCAGGGCGTAGAACTTGTCTCTGATCTTCACGCCATGCTGGGCCCACTGGGGTGGGGGGAGAGCGGAGACATCGAGAAGCACAGGGTCAGGGTGGGGCTGAGTCGAGTGTGTGGGGGCGAACCAGTGGATTGGTGATCTCTCGGCAATGCCTCGCAGGCGCGGCCCAGCCCTTGGGCACATCTGCCATGCGCATGCACAGTCCACTCACACGCAACCAAGCCACTGCCAAGCCCGACGTCTACCCGAAGGGAGGGAGCCCGCTTGCCAGCAGCTTGGGCCGAGTCCCTTCCCAACCACCGCTACTCTTGTCCATGGCCCCTGACGACCGGTCCCATCCCCGTCGCCCTTCCAGCCAACATGACACCAGTCCCACCTGGAGCTCCTCCCAGGACAGGTCCGGACAGAGCACGGTGACCTCGCTGCCTGGCAGCGGCACGCCCAGCTGCCGCATGCGCGACCGGGGCAGCGCCTCGGCGCAGCGCGCGAAGCGGTATTGCTCGTCGGTCGCGCCCTCCTCCCCGGCCACCCGGCTCAGCTCGTATCGGTGCCTGTGTGGTGGGAGGGATGTTGCGGGCTCGAATGTGAGCCTCAAAATCTGTCCGGCAAGGCATCATGGGGGGGACGAGGTTTTGTCTTTGTGCCGGCTGGTGCCCGCATGCCAGGATAACAGCATCCACTTGCTCCCCCGCGTCCCCTCCCTCTACGTCCAGCACCACACCTCCCTTTCAGGGACCCCCCCCTCTCCCTCCCTTCTTTCACCACCCAAACCCTCCCCTCCCGTCCCCCCCCCCAAACGGAAAACCACGACCCTCACGTGTGGCTCTCCAGGTACAGGGTGGCGGTTCTCATGCGCGCTGAGGTCCACTCGTGGGGCCGCAGGCCGCGGTCTGCCACCGCGGCGGCGCTGTACTTGAGCCACGGCTCATTGGCCAGGTTGAAGACCACGGTGACCTCCTGCGCGGTGCGCAGGCGGGCTCCGCTCCCCGCCGAGGAGCGGGTGAGGATGCGCTCGTGGTGGGAGGGGGTGAAGGTGGGCGCGCCCAGCGGCAGCCCGTCCAAGTTGGCCGCCAGGTCCACGCTCTGCCCACTGCGCAGCACCACCCAGGCGCGTTCCACCGCAAAGGAGCAG